CACCTACAAACCCAAAACCCCAAACCCTAAACCCTAAACCCTAAACCCTAAACCCTAAACCTAAAACCCTAAACCCTAAACCCTAAACCCTAAACCTAAAACCCTAAACCCTAAACCCTAAACCCAAACTACCCAACCCTAAACATGGCCTTACCGACCCAAAAAGCAGGAGCCCTGAAGTTCCCCCACAAAGGCCCTAAGCCCAGAGCCGGCAAGAAAGTCTCAAGGATGGGATCCTTAAAGGAGGGTTCAGGGTTTTAGGGTTCAGGGTTTAGGGTTTAGGGGTTTTAGGGGTTCAGGGTTTAGGGTGTTTAGGGTTTTAGGGTTCAGGGTTTAGGGTGTTTAGGGTTTTAGGGTTCAGGGTTTAGGGTTTAGGGCTTTAGGGGTTTGGGGGTTTGGGGTTTAGGGGTTTGGGGTTTAGGGTTTAGGGGTTTGGGGTTTTAGGGGTTCAGGGTTTTAGGGTTTAGGGGTTTGGGGGTTTAGGGGTTTACGGTTTAGGGGTTTAGAGTTTAGGGTTTAGGGGTGTAGGGTGTTTAGGGTTTTAGGGTTTAGGGTTTAGAGGTTTAGGGGTCTATAACCCACTATAACCCAATAACCCCTCAAATAAACCAAGGCAGCCCAACAAGCTCATCGACGTTTTTGCAACCCTAAACTCTAAACCCTAAACATTGAATACTAAAGATTATTAATGTAGACCCCTGGTAAGTAAGCTTCCCTCCCGTAGTACGGGGTCTAGCAGGGATCTTAAACTCACGACCCCTCTACAAGGCAGTCATGTATGAATCAAGGTGTACATTCATAGTGCAATGGTTCAGAGATCAGACCACGAATCGGGAGCCAGAGAACATGACCTCCCTCTGTCGTAGCATAAGGCCCCGCTACTCCCTAAACCCTTAAAACCCCCAAACCCCGAAACCCTAAACCCCCAAACCCCTAAACCCTAAACCCCCAAACCCCAAAGGCCCTGCTACTGTAGAGCCCTCAAGAATTACAGCAGAGTTGTGGTGCACATTCCACTTCTCCTTGGGCTTCAAGGGGATAAAACCAGGCTTTAGGGTATATAGGGTTTAGGGTTGAGGGTTGAGGGTTTAGGGTTTAGGGTTTGGGGTGTAGGGTAATATGGTATAGGGTTTAGGGTGTAGGGTTTAGGGTTTAGGGTTTAGGGCTTAGGGTTCCCTATTGCGCCGCTGATGTTGGCCGCAGCTACTCGGCCTTTGCGGCCCAGCTTGACAAGCATGGCCATCCTCAGAGAAGTTAATCGTTGAAATCCCTATCCTCCCAACCCTAAACCCTAAACCCCTAAACCCTGAACCCTAAACCCTCAACCCCTAAACTCTAAACCGTCAACCCTAAACCCCAAACCCTACGCGTTACACCCCAAACTCAGACGCCGAAGCCCCAAAATTCTGAACCCTCACGCCCAAGCCCCGCACCCTCAGCCCTAAGCCCTGGAAGCCTACCTGGGGATCCAGAAACCTGCTGGTTTTGAGGGGCTGGGCTGGGTAAACCCTAAAGGCTTAGGGTTTACCATTGCAGTTATTGGACTGCGTTTTAAGGGTTATGCCAAATATTTACGGGGTCGGAACCAGCTATTTTGTAGGGTTTGGGGCTACAGGTAAATCCCAAATAGCCCCTAAACTCTTAACCCCTATAAACCCGTAAACCCCTAAACCCGTAAGCCCCTAAAGCCTGAACCAAGCGACAGGCCAAAGAGCGGGACACGGTGCGCAGAGATCTGCAGAGGCTTTTCCTGTCTCATTGTGAGGGCGTAGGTTTTGAAAGTGGCTTCGGGTGTCTAGCGTTTAGGGTTTAGGGTGTAGGATTTGGGGCTTTAGCTAAAAAGCGAGACCTTTTGAGCTTAAAGGTTTCTGGGCCTTGTAGGCTTGCAGAGGTGGATTCCATGGATGTGATTTTGGGCTCATCGCGTTGTTTGTTTTGGGGGGGTGGCATAATTTACAGCTCCCGGGTTTCAGGATGTTCAAGCTCAAGGATGGTCACTGGCCTTCCTTAGTATACCTTCCTGCAGTTCCTCAGAACTGGCACTGTGCTACGGGTACTTAAGGTGCGTGCAGGATACTGTAGGTATCGTATGCAGTAGGAACCTTCAGCCCGGCTTTGGTATGTTCAGGCCCTACTCTACATCATAAGATGCCGATTACAAGGACACCTCCCAAGAAAGGACCGTAGGCCGAACACCCTTCTAAGCACCGCACATCTCTGAATTACCCCTAAACCCTTCCAAGGTCCTCACATCTCTGAATTACCCCTCAACCCTAAGGCCTAAACCCTGAATTCCACAGGTGGCTCTTCAAGACAAATGCCCCGGAGCGGCTGACTACCCGCATGCTGGACTCTCTGTACAGACCTCAGTATCAGGGTTCAGGGTTCAGGGTTTTGGGTTTAGGGTTTAGGGTTTAGGGTTTAGGGTTCAGGGTTCAGGGTTCAGGGTTCAGGGTTCAGGGTTCAGGGTTTTGGGTTCAGGTTCAGGTCCAGTCTGCGTCGATTAGGGCAAAGTAGAAAGGGTTGTCCGGGACGTTGAGGTCTTTATCATGGGTGGTTTAGTTTTGCTGCTGCTTCTGCGGTGAGCTACGTTACATAGTGCCCCATAGCAGCTGGATCTAATGTAGGGGCCTAAATAATTACCAATACTGTTTTTTTTTGGGAGGGGGTCTTTATTATAATTATTGTACACTATACCCCAAAACCCTAGTCAAATTATCAAGGCCCCTGCATTAGGTACTGTTTGCGCACGTGGAGTCCTAGCGTCTTGTCTTCGAGTGCTTCTGAGACGGACAAGTTGTCTGCTGCTCGCCTGCTGGGCCAGAGAGCCCTGCAGAGAAGGCTGTGGCCAAGAAGAACGAAGCCCTGCAGAGACTCCGAAAATCCTTGATTCAGGAACATAGATCTTAAATCATTTTGAGGATTCTCCGAGAATTCCCTAAACCTTGAGCCGCCTGAGTTAAAGGGTTTTCGTTTTGGAGCCTCTGGGAGAGAGAAAACTCCCAGATTTACGCCTCCAAACCATAGGAAAAGCTGGGTTTCCAAGCCCACCAGAGACAGGATTTAGGGCTTAGGGTTTAGGGGGCCGATAGGGTTTAGGATCAAGGATTTAGGGTTTAGGGCTGAGGGGTTCTATAGGGTTTAGGATAGCCTACCTCTTCCTTGAAAGAATAACGATGAATGTAGGGGCCTTAACAATAAGAATAGGGTTCCGGGGTATATTATACTATGATTATAATAAGGAACCCCCACAACAGTATAGGTAATTCTTTAGGCCCCTATATTAAGTACCCCCAACCTTAAGACGCCCTCAATGCCGGAAACCGACGACGAAAGACACGAACTTCTGAAGAGCACCCCAAGCGTGGAGGCCACCATCCTCATGGTAAGGGTTTAATGTAGGGGCCTTAATAACTAGAGTAGGGTTTGGGGTCTATTATACTATTTTTGCAATAAGGAACCCCCCAAAACCCTATTATGATTATTAAGGCCCCTATATTCTTGGTTGAAGGCCTGGGGGTTTTAGGGTTTTTTTTAGGGGCAGTCAGGGTTTAGGGGTTTAGGGTGTTGGGTGGAGGGATTATATGGTTTAGGGTTTAGGGGTTTAGGGTTTATAGGGTATAGGGTTTCGGTTTAGGGTTCGGTGTAGGGGGTTTCAGCACTACAGACTCAATCAGGAACGACGTGCTTCAGTCGAAGGACTCGCCCTTGGACGTGAAACAGCCGCTTGGACAGACACTATTTGGTTTTGGGTTTGGGTTCAGTGTGCCAACAGGGGTTTTAGGGTTTTGGGTCGTGCTGGTCCGTTTTGAGCTACGTACTGGGTTCAGGCTTTAGGTTTGGGTCCCACGGTCTTCACAGTTTATATCTATATTATATATATATATATATACATGTGTGTGTATATATATATATATATATATTTATTTATTTATACTCATATATATATATGTATATTTATGTATATTTATGGGGTTTGAGGGTTTTCAGGGCTCGGTCTTGTGATTCATGGAGTTTGCGGTATAGGGCTCAGGGTTCCGATCTCGGGTGTCAAATTTGTTGGGTTCAGGGAGCTCCAGGGTTGAGGATGCTATAATGTATGGGCCTACATAACTAGCTGTCTATATATATATATATATATATGGTCGCCCCCCCCCCCCCCCCCCCCCC